TAATTTAATCGTACTTAGTGAAAAATACAGTACTTATATTTCATAAAATCACATTATTTTTACTCATATTTCCATAATTCTACTTTTATATTTACCCTGATCAAGAGCGGGTCAATATTGAGATGTTGGTAAATTGAATCTCACGACAACATTTTAATTTAATGTTAACATTGTCTCGTACTATAATATGAGCCCGTTTGGTAACACTAAAATTGGCTGAATTGGCTGATTTTGCTGAAATTTATGAAGTTTTGGCTGAAGTGGCTGCATTGGCTGATTCTGCTGATTCGTGAAAAAAAATTAAATATTTGTTATTAATAAATTAAATAAAAAGTTATATGAAAAATAGCTAAAATGATCCTATACAGTAACTTCATTCAATACAACCAGAAAAATAACACCAACCTTACTTTTTCTGCTTATTACAAAATTCAGCGCGCGAAATCAAAAGCTATGTGTTTGGTAAAAAAGCTGACTGATAAACCTGATAAGCCGAAAGAAAGGATTACCAAACGGGCTCTATGACTTGATATAATTGCTTCAAGTTCAATATAATTAAGGTGGCTACTATGGTACCTCACAAATAAATGATGATACGGTACTTACGATACATTTTATTCGTTCAACTTGTTATCTTATCATTTATTAATATTTTAATGATCCAATTACAATATTCAAATAGACCTATATATAATAAGGCACATACAAGAATAAATTCCACTTTTGGTCTTACGAGTTTTTAGGTCAATTCCACATTTAGTCCACACATTTCACTTTGTCCACGTTTGGTACATGACTATTGTGTTTTTGCTCATATATGGTCCTTCCGGCATTGTTTCTGTGCTTAAAATCGCCGGAAAAGGACCACAAACGGTTAAATAACATTAGTCAATTATCAAAAGTGGATAAAGTGAAAGGCATGGACTAAAGTAGGAATTGGCACAGAACTCGTAGGATCAAAAGTGGAATTAATTCTACATATGGAGTACAATATCCAAAAAGTACCGTAGAATTTGCATATGATTAACCATGAGACAAACTTAATTCAAAAGAATTAATTTCAATTTTGATCCTATGAGTTATATGTCAATTCCAAATTTAATCCATCTTCACGTTATCCACTTTTGGTACTTGACTAATGTTATTTAACCATTTGTAGTCCTTTTCTAGCAATTTTAACCACCAAAAACATTGTCGGAAGGACCATATATAAGCGAAAACACAATAGTCATCATGTACCAAAAGTAATTAAAGTGAAAGATATGGACTAAATGTAAAATTGACTTAAAACTAGTAGGATCAAAAGTGGAATTTATTCTAATTCAAAACTAAAAGGAATGAAAACAAAGTGGTCCTACGAGGAGAATTGCTCATTTCGTGTCACTAAATACAGAGGCGGATCCAAGAGTCAAGATTGAACTGAGCAAAAGAGTAATTATACTCTTCCTAAATATTAGCAGGAGAGTTAAATATGAAAAGGGGAAAAATATCAAATAAGCCCCTCTATTTTTGAAAAAAATCAATTAAGCCCTCTAACTCAACTATCAACCAATCAAACCCCTCTACTATAAAAAGAAACATGCAATTCAGCTGTTTTGGCGGTAAAGAGTTGGTGATTCCGGTAATGCTGACATGTCACCCATTTATCTTTATTTTTTATGCAAAATATCAGCGGCACTCCAGACGCTTGTGTTCGTCCTCCATGATTGGCAAAACAATGAATAAAAAATGCCCATCTGGGGCCGTCGGCCATGACCACAGCATGAATCAAGCTCCATCACTTCCGTGGGAAATACCGATGACGCGAAAGAGGAGGCCTCCAACATGTGAGTTTCAGTGTTCTCATACTATTCCATGGCCGTCGTTCGTACCCGAACCTTCATACCTCCATTAATGGATTCACCATCTCACCAATTGATCGTCCCCCTATACTTTGAAATTACCCCTTCCTTCTTCATTCATCTTCTAGTAGTGCAAGGTGCCTCATACATCCTGATCTGGAGTGCAAGGATCATTCTCGAATATTTTTAATGAATGATTTGTGTACACATGTAGCTAGAAAGCATGTACAAAAATGTATACAAATGACATCTCCAAACAAATGTTTCGTTTTTTGAGCAGTCAAATTTTGAACAATCATTGTATACGGAATTACTTATAGTTAAAAATGATATGTAGTACATAAGTACTCACTATTACAAATACTTTCGTAGAAGTAGTAATTACTTTTAACTACATACATCCAAATATTTGTTGTAAAAAAAACTACACCCAAATATTCAACGAATAATTATGGAGTATATTTAATTTTTAAACTTAAACTAATTTTACCTTATCTCATTTAGAATCACTTACATACTCATCAATTTTAATTTCTTATAATGTTATACTACATCCCTTCTCAAATAGATGCAATTATTTGAGAAAAGTTATTGTATGGGGTATATGTTTAACTCTTATTTTTGAAATTTTCTCAAAATTTATCTACAATTACATCTTCTCACATATGTATTATAGATTTTGGTGATTTACCTACCTTACCTGGTTAAAAAAAGTTATAACTTAATGTTTAAATCTAGTCACACAATGTTAACAATGTGATATGCTATTAGGGAAAATTTATCAGGTGTTCACCCCCATCTTTCCAAGCTGCCTCCTATATGAAATCGAAGGCCCATAGTTAGGGAAAGTTAATATTACTATTTCATGCTCCCAAGCAGATCTGATAGGATTGGTAGGGAGGAATTTGAGAAATTTTAGAAGAGGAATGAAGAAGGAAGAGGGGGACGATCGATTGAAATAAAAAATGCAGAAAGGGTCAACTTTGACCGGGAGAAAAAAAAAATTGAAGCCCACGATCCACGTGTATGACGTATATAAGCTAAAGAGATACCGATTACCTGAAACCGGGAGGTTACCTATTAAAAAGCCTATTTGACAATTTTATATGAGTATAGGGGTTTGATTGGGTGATAGTTGAGTTGGAGGATTTACAGCCCGTTTGGTAACACTAAAATTGGCTGATTCTGCTAAAATTTATGAAGTTCTGTCTGAAGTGGCTGTATTGGCTGATTCTGTTGATTCATGAAAAAATTATATTTAAAATATTTGTTATTAATAAATAAAATAAAATAAAAAATTATATGAAAAATAGCTAAAATGATCATCTACAGTATCTTCAGCCAATACACAGGGCCGGCTTTTGGGGGAGTTAGCCTAGACAAATGTCTAGGGCCTCCAAATAATATGGGGCCTCCAATTTTTAAAAAATCAATAGTATATACATTTATTTAATTAGTATTAGAATTCTACAAATAGGATGGGTTGCACAGCACTACGAAAACACGAGAGTGAGGAGCATGCATTTTTAATACGGAAGTATTTTACATTTTCTAAGCTAAGAAGTATTTTACGCATTAATTACATTATGAGCCCGTTTGGTAGCACCAAAATCGGCTGTTTTGGCTGATTCTGCTGAAATTTATGATATTCTGGCTGGAGTGGTTGTTTTGGCTGATTCTGCTGATTTAAGAAAAAAATATTTTAAAAATATATTTTATTAATAAATTAAAGAAAAAATTATATGTGAAAATAGCTGGCTGAAAAGTCACTTCAACCTTACTTTTTCGGCTTATTACACAATTCAGCGCGCGAAACTAAAAGTTACGTGTTTGGTGAAAAAGCTGGCTGATAAGCTTGATAAGCCGAAAACAGAGTTCTCCATTTGGAATGTTTCTTTACCTTTTTTAGATTTGTTTTCAGTATTTTGGTTTTTAAAGTTCATAGTATATTACAACTTATAAAATTGTTGATTTATTCATTTAAGTTTTAAGATATAAAAAATACTAGTATTATTTTTATTCCTTTAGGTGTTTGCTTGTTACGTTTCACAAATCACAATTGTTTTGTTTGTTCATTTTGAATTTGAGCCTTTTAATCTCAAAAGGTTTCATATTTTTTACTTAATTATGCTATAAAAAGTGTAAAACCGTATATTTGGGATTCATGATTGTTCGGTGATTTTGTATAGGAAGTTAAAACTAAGCTGGTTGGAAAATTACTCTGTAATATATTTGTTGATTTCTGATAAAGAAAAACATTAAAACTATGACTTTCTAAGATAGAAAAATAAGTTGATTTAAATAATTACATTTCTATATAATTATAGGTTTGAGCTTAGATTTTCTTTTTCTAACTATTTCTTGAAAGGAATTACAAAATAAAGTTCGTCAGATTATATCTGATCAACCATGGCCAAAGATAGACTAGCTAACTGGGTTGACTATATTATTGATGAAGAAAAAATGTGTATTTTTGGTGCATTTTGGGCTAATTGGCTTCTATTTGTTTCATGTAATACTCTTTATATTATATTAAGGAAACAAGAAAAGGAAAATGCACGCTAATAAATTCCCAAAGTTAAATATTACTCGTATTTGATTGTATGTCTAGGGCCTCAAAGTTGTTCTAGACGGCCCTGCCAATACAGCCAGAAAAGTAACTTCAACCTTTCTTTTTCTCCTTATTACACTATTCAACGCGCGAAATCAAAAATTACGTACTTGGTGGAAAAGCTGACTGATAAGCTTGATAAGCCGGAAAAAGGGGTCACTAAACGTAACGGGCTCTTAATTGATTTTTTTCTAAAAGTACGGGACTTAATGGATAGTTTTCCCTATGAAAAATGAAAACAACTAAACATTTGGAAAAAGTAATTTACTTTGTAAATCTTGATTAAACATTTTGCGTGAGATCAAGGTGGGTATGAGTTTCTGTGGTAATATAGAGTTTGGAAGTTCTTTTGGTACAGTGGGGTAAACATCGACCATGAATTCGAGCATTTGATTTGACGTATGATTAAGGGATATATTCTCTCATCAATAATAATTCAATGTATATGACTATACTACACACAAAATTGCGTGTGTATATATTCCGAAGCATATACTAGTAGTTTTATACTCCGTATGACCGTATTTATTTATGGGAAAAAACAAAAAACAAAATGTAAACCGATGGAAAGGTACTGAAATAACAAAAATGCTATGGGTACCTCAAGTATACCCCATTTCATACCCCATATAAAAACTCCCATTTTTACCATCTTTTTTTACCCCCTTTTCTCTCACATCTCTCCTACTCCACCCAATCTCTTCTTTTCCGCCAAAGACACTCCCCCTCCTTCGTGGAGTTCGATTCTGCTACAGTACTCAGGCCAAACTCCACAAACCTTCCTCCTTCATCTTCTTGGATGGATATCATGGGGACTGAGGTGCATTTGGACGAGTTGAGTGGGGAAGAAGTTCAAATGAATGGTTTGACATGGGGAGATGACGTGGGTGACGGTGGTAATCCTCCAGCTCCGGTGGGTGTTGAAGTGAATGCGACTTCAAGGGAAGAAGATGAAGAAGGTGTGGAAGTTGAATCTTTGGAGAAGGGTATGTTGTTTTTTCCTCATTTTTGGTATTTGGTTGGTCAGACAGACAACTCGCAATTGCAGCGTCTGTCTAGCCTAAACTCACCGTGGTTTCATACTTGTTTTCAACTGAACATGGTTTCGTAGTTGGTAGAGTGGTGCATAAAATGTGTGTGCGGCCAGACAACTTAAAATGTTTGTCTCAGTAGAGGAAATGTCTGTATTCGCATGAGGAAAAATGTATATGACTATGTATAAGCATGTATGTATTCTACTGCACGTTTGATTATTTTACTTGAGTAAGTATTTTAACTGTGTGTGGTTTTGTTTGAAAACATGGTTGTATTTTGTAATGTGAAGTAAAATGAGGTTAATTAATTATACATATACATATACATATATATATATATATATATATAACAATAATATATACTAATATATTATTGTAATTGTGTAAAAGTGATGCAGTGAATATGTATAGTTCTATTATGGTAATTCTGTTTATAAGTGATGCATTTTATTAAGTGTGTGTTTAAGTGAACATGTATACTTTGATTAAATAACAGATGAAGACGAAGAAGAGATTTGTAATAAAGTTCCCTTTGTTGGCATGGAGTTCCCAAGTAAAGATGCAGTGTGTGATTTCTACAAGGAATACGGGAGAAGAGTAGGGTTTCCTGTTAGAATACGAAATTCAAGGAAAGACGCAGAAGGAAGCACAATTGCAATTGCATTAGAGTGCGGGCGTGCGGGAAATAGACAAAGTCAGACACAAAATGTTTTGAAACCTCAACCTTCAATGCAATTTGGTTGCTTGGCAAAAATAAGAGCACGTATAAATTATGAAGGGGCATGGGTCATTTCAACGTGTTGTTTAGATCATAACCATCCCATGAGTCCAACGAAGGCTAGACTATTTCGGTGTTATAGGAGGTTGACACCAAAAGCTATGAAGCAAATTGCAATCAATGATGTCGCGGGTATACGACTTAATAAGAGTTTCCACTCACAAGTCGTAGAAGCGGGTGGATATGATCAACTTCCATTCATTGAAAAGGATTGTCGGAACTATATAGATAAGGTGCGTCAACTTAGGTTGGGGGTTGGTGATGCGGTGGCATTGCAAGATTTTTTTTAAAAATGCAAGCACAATGCTCCGGGTTCTTCTTTATGCTTGATTTGGATGAAGAGTCACGGTTACGGAATGTATTTTGGGCGGACAATCGATGTCGATATGCTTACAAAGATTTTGGTGATGTCATTACTTTTGACACAACATATCTTACCAATCGTTATGACATGCCTTTCGCGCCATTTGTAGGAGTGAATCACCACGGGCGATCAATCTTGCTTGGTTGTGGCCTCATCTCGAGTGAAGATACAGAAACGTTTGTGTGGCTTTTTAGAGCTTGGCTTGAGTGTATGGACGGTTGTGCCCCTCACGGAATTATTACCGACCAAGATCGTGCTATGCAAAATGCCATCCAAATAGTCTTTCCTAAAACACGACACCGATGGTGTTTATGGCACATAATGAAGAAGCTACCGGAGAAGTTGGGAGGGTATACCCATAAAGATGAAATTATGGCCGGTATACATGATTCAGTATATGACTCTCAATTCCCTGTTGATTTTGAAGTTGGTTGGAATTCTCATTTGGAAAGGTGGTAGACAATTGTGTATTAATATTGAATGACTTGCCAGACAACATTTGCCTGGCCCAGACATTAGTACTCTGGGACGTAAACCTTGTGTATGCCATAGTCACAGACAAAATATGTTTGGAATAGACATTTTGTTTATGGGGCATTGTGGTTGTTTCTGCAACACGTACAGACAAAATTTGTCTGTGTCAGACATAAGTAGTCTGGGAGATAATGCGTGTATGTCAAACTGACAGACAAAATTTGTCTGTGCCAGACATTAGTAGTCTGGGACATATTGGTTGTGTATGTCCAACTGACAGACAAAATTTGTCTGTGCCAGACATTAGTAGTCTGGGAGATAATGCTTGTGTATGTCAAACTGACAGACAAAATTTGTCTGTGCCAGACATTAGTAGTCTGGGACATATTGGTTGTGTATGTCCAACTGACAGACAAAATTTGTCTGTGCCAGACATTAGTAGTCTGGGAGATAATGCTTGTGTATGTCAAACTGACAGACAAAATTTGTCTGTGCCAGACATTAGTAGTCTGGGAGATAATGGTTGTGTATGTCAAACTGACAGACAAAATTTGTCTGTACGTGTCATTAGTAGTCTGGGAGATAATGCTTGTGTATGTCAAACTGACAGACAAAATTTGTCTGTGGCAGACAAATTTGTTGTAACTAATGTCTTGTGTATTCATTATAGGTATTCACTTCAAGATGATGAATGGCTTAAGGTCATGTTTGAAGAACCCCAAAGGTGGGTACCTTATTACTTGAAACCTACATTCTGGGCAGGTATGTCCACAACTCAGCGTAGTGAGAGCATCAACGCTTTTTTCGACCTTTTTGTGCACTCTAAAACAAGTCTAAAACAATTCGTGGAGCAATACGGTCGTGCCTTAAAATTTAAGGCTGAAAAAGAGTGTCAAGCGGACGCAGAGTCTTTTTCAAAATTGCTACCGTGTGTTTCGAAATTTGCTATGGAGAAACAAATGCAAGGAATCTACACAATGGCGAAGTTCAAGGAGTTTCGAGATGAAGTGATTGGCAAGCTTTATTGTGACATAATTCAATGCGATGGCGGTAAAATTTATCATGTCAAAGAAGAAGTAAAAATAACAGAGGACTTTTACAAGACTGTTTACTTCATAGTGGAATATGATTCCGGCTTGTGTGCATGCAAATGTAGTTGTCATTTGTTTGAATTTAGAGGCATTGTGTGTAGACATATGTTTATGGTTCTACAGCGCAACGATGTTAAAATATTGCCCGAGGTGTACATCATGCGCAGATGGAGGCAAGATGTAAAGCGCTCTTACACACGAGTGAAAATAAACTATGATGGGTGGATCACAACAGTTGAACAACAACGATATGACAAGTTGTGTAAGACTTTTGAAGATCTTGCAAATGCCATTGCCGATGATGAGGAAAAGTATAAAAGCGTTATGCAATGGATGCAAGACCAATTGCATGAGTGTACCGGGTCAACTACAACTTATTCCGTTTGTGGTGTCATGACACAACTTCCACAATTACATACAAATGGGCATGGGGAGGCAACGGGTCCAATTCAAGACCCGAAGATCACAAAAAGGAAGGGTGCACCGAGGAAAACCCGCATAAAGGGTCCTCTTGAAAAATCAAAGAAGAAACAGAAGGTTTAATGCAATTACATATACATTTTATTACAGTGTTTCAGGTTTGGACTTTTAATTTATTAACTATAGGTTTTAATGAATAATTTGACTAATGTTATTTTCCTTTTTTTCAGGCCGATACCAAAAAAAAAACAAGGAAGAACCCTAGTGGAATGCACACAACTGAAGGCTCAAATGAAATTTATGATTTGACTATATTAACGCCCTGTGTGAATGATAAGGGGTTGGATTTGAACCTACGCTTATTGTGAACTTGTAGTAGGAATTTTCAATTACTTGTCATTGAAACTTATGTATTAATGTGTAACAATTTGGAATGTACAATTACTTGTGCTATTGAACATTATGTTTTTGTGTGATATCAGTATATTTCGGTGAGCGAGACACACAAAATGTATACCTTCTTAGACAATTTCAATCAGGGAGACATATAAATTGCATATGCTGACAGACATATATAAAACTTCACAAAACAACATAATAGGTTTAATTTAACACAATAGGTTTAATTACAACATGTAACATTCGAAGGTTTTACATCCATAATGTTTGCAACAGCAATAACAACTTAAAAAAATAGCATTCCCACATTAAATAGGCATTCCAGAATTCCTATGATTTGTCCACATTCTTCACTCCCCACAAACGTACAGCATATTGACATCGCTTATTCCACATGTTGGAATACTCACAACCTGGAACCAAGGGCTTTCCCAATAAAAGGTGTTCTGCATATGATGCAACCATGACTCCACATTCTCCTGAGCTGTAGACAGGCAAGTAGAAGATAGACAGACAATTAGGCCATGGAGACAGACAATTTACAAATTGTAATTAAGGTAGAATTAAATACCCTGGCCCCTGTTGGGGAACACCCTCAACTAAGTCAGCAACCCATGGTTGCACTTCCTTCTCTAGAGGGGACATCGTAAATAAGCTATGGAGGTATGGCAGCCGATCACATAATTCCCTTACATGAAAAACACTTCTACCGCTCTTCAACGAATCATATACTCGAACCAACTTCTTTTGCAACACAACTTCTGCCAAGATCCAATGCTTGTTCTGTATGTTTAAAGGAAGTAAGACCTGCCAGAAAAAAACATACCACAACATAAAAACCTATAAAGGTGTGCACAGAAACATATTGGTTTTCTTAAAACTAAATATTACCCTTTCAAATGATCGCCAATCTTGTTTGGTCAAACATTTGTCTGCAGCCCAATTTTTCACCTCGCCAATTTCCTTCGTCATGATAGTATGCTACAAAAGGTTTATATATGTATTGGTGTCCGGTTTTTCAAGATAAACTACATAATATTTGTATGTAGCACAATTTATATTACAATTTGAACCTGTAATATTTTATACGTACCACAAGATATGGGCTCAAAATGGTACAATTGGCTGCAACCTTGTCTTTATTTAGCAAGAAGGTGATGGCATCAAGATGCTAAAAAAAAAATGTCATGTACATCACAACGCACAATATATCAACATAAGAAGGTGAGAGCATGAACTTACGTAGGTGGCCAACCAAATATTACATGTGAGCAAGTCTTGGAAAAATCCTCTATTCACTTCGAATTCATCAGGGATCATTAGAACAACACTCAAAGGAGGATGCTGGTCATCATCCTCAATCCAATCCTTAAGTTCATTCCATTCCTCAAGGGATTCATTGATGAAGATTGGGTTGATGGTGTGACTCGGTTCAGCAATGGTTTTCAACCGCTTTCCTTTTGGCGCTGTATAAGGGCTGACCCTGTACTTGGATGGGAATTTTAGTCGTTTACCAAGTATTTCCATCGACATTTGTTCTGGTGCTGGAGTTTTAATGGGAGCACTTTGCAAATCTGCCACAACCTCATCCTAATAAGAATCATCAATTGGGCCTGATGATGCCAACTCAGAATCAACCACCTAAATGAAATTCATGATAAGCAGGACAGTGTCAAAATGTTTGTAGCCAGACATTTTAATACATAAGACAGACATATTGACTTACTTCAAGAAGAGCGGGTGATATGATCTGCTTAGAAGTTGTACCAATATCTAACTCCCCGACTGTATTTGAATCGTCCATTGGTCCAGATGGTTCAGTCAAAACATCAGTCACCTACATTAAAAATCTGTCATTAGCAAGACAGTGTGAAAATGTCTGTAGACAGACATGTTTATGTATAAGACAGACATATTGACTTACTTCAAGAATAACGGGTGATATGATCTGCTTAGAAGGTGTAGTAACATAACAGTCGGTGGCATGGTTTGCATCAGCCATTTCTCCAGATGGTTCACTCACAACATCAGCTAGCTACATTAAATCAACAAAGTGCATGAGTGCTCAAATGTTTTAAAATAGAGAATTCAATTTTGTATGACATACATATTAACTTACTTCAATAAGGATGGGTGAGATGATATGATTGGAAGTTGTAGTAACATCAGTCACAGCTGGTTCACCTACTGCTGCAGCAACCTACATGAAATCCACCACGAAAATAAATTCAGTTTTAAAAGGTCTGTAGACAGACATCTTATATTGGATGGACAGACAGATTGACTTACTTCTTGAACGAGTGTTGGCTCGTTTTCAACGTCTTGTTCAACTTGGTCTTTATCTTCAACCTCATCATCATCAACTTCCATTTCCATTACCTTATTCTTAGAACCAATCTGCACAAGCATTGTATTAACACACCACTCCCAATGAAAGAATCAGACAGAATTTTATGGCATCAAATATTATTTACCTCAGTCGCCTTCTCTGGCACGGCACCCTGTGCACTGAATCTCTCTTCCATCAACTTCAACCTGCTTTCCAGAGCAGTCACATGCTCCCGGAATGCTTGCATCTCATCCATGACTTTGGCTTTGAAACCCTTGTCCCGAACTTCTTCATCCTCGTTCTCGTTCTCAGATTCATCTTCCTCCTATACAGGAATCTTAAAGACTAAAATACGATGTTATTTGAATGCAAAAATCAACAAAATAAGATATAATACATCATCATTGTCCTTGAAAACCAATTCATTCAACTTGCGTGCATGAAAGAATCCATCGGCCTTCCAGTTCAGCATAGGAATTTCTTCATTACCAATACGTTCAGCACATTGTTCTCCTAGGTTAGGCACGTTTTCATACGCCCAAACCTAAAAAAATTTATAAAATTAATATGTCTGTCTGCCAAAAGTTTACAGATAGAAATGTCTGTCTCAACATAGAAATGTCTGTCTCAACATTAAACTACAAAGAATGAGAAAAATACCTGTAGAATAAAAGGACATCCATATAGAGTGAACTTAGCAGTTGTGGCCTTGCTTTGCCTGAACCTGGTGGGCTGCTCTTTCATGATACTTTTGAAGTGGTCAATCATGGTGTTATAGGACTCCCTACCCCATGGATACATCTTAAACTTCTCGAACTCGTCCGCCCACTTCAAATACACCAAATTTATCTTGGTTTTGTTATCCCGAGCAAGTAAAACCGTCAAAATGTAACACACGGACAGTAGCTTCACAGGATCTCCACTCTTTGTACGCCTAAATGACTTCAACTTGTCCTTCAACATTTTGTACGTAATGTTCGTGGATCCACGAAAGTACTTCTCAATTAGCGACCCATGCACTTCATCATCATCATTGAAGACAGGAATTTCCGCTGATGATTTGAGACCGGATATGCGACAGAAATCAGCATACGTAAACTTCAACAGCCTCCCTTGAATCAAGAACCACAGCTCGTCTGCAGGTTGGTCCTTCACTAGCCTCAGCAGCAGAGAATGGATGATTTGGCCTGAAAATTGTATGTCTGCCACGAATAGTAGGTGGCCCCATGGCAAATTCCTAAATTCTTCCAATTGATTCTTTGTCAGCGCACCTTTAACCAAGCTTACAGCCTCTCTGAAATATGAGCAGACAGATAACTGGGCTGGAAAGTGCTTGCGAACTGGAATTTGTACTTCGAATGACCTGTATTATTCACACAAATACAAATCAAACATTTGAGACAACTCAGAAGGAAGGACAAACATTTTATATCACTTGACAGACAAGTGTCTTCACATGACAGACAACTACACAACAATATAAGCAATTTCATATCACATGCACAACAAGTCTATGTCAAAATGAGGAGCCAGACAATTTTTATTGTTTGCCAGACAACTATGTCTATCCTTAGTAAGAAGGTTATATGGTTGAACATATTAATGTATAAATTTGTGTTGAATATTTTGTAGGAAGGTTATATGGTTGAACAAATTAATGTTTAAATTTGTTACACACTTGGAGTTCATACTTTAAACTAGAAAGCTTATAAACCAACTTTCATATTTCAGAAAGTTGAAAGCAAAGCAAAGAGTATGCTTTGACAGTTTGACATATTACTTAGTTTATAGACCATTCATAACTCAAAAATAACATTCAAAGCTCATAGATTATAAAGCATTCTTAGCTTACAAAATTTACATTTAAAACATCTCATTAAGCAAACTTGCCAGACATCTGAAATGCTGCATTGGTTATATCCCAAATCACAAACTACAACTACATAGAATACTACAATAGTACAATGTAACTAAATAACACTGCCTACTACACAAGGTACTACATATTAAGTAAAACAATTACAAATACTAAACACAATAATTTTCCAGACAACTATGTTCTCCTAACAGACAACTACACAATAATTGTAATGGTTTGCAAGACAACTATGTTCACATGATAAACAACTACAAATGGCTTGCCAGACAATCCATTTCCATTGACAGACATCTCATACGCCTGGCCAGACCACTATAATGACATCACAAACAACTTTCAAGAATTCAAAATGAAGTGACACACACAACCAAACAACCATGAACAGACAAGTTCAAAGTGGTCAGACAAACACAATGACAAACAACACCAAAATTACACACCAAGATAATATCAATCCAAAAAAATTGAAAAAATTGCATACCTTTCAGCCATATGTGTTAAGCTTGGATGAACTTGGACCTTAAAACCTTCAGGAGGGCAGTTCGTTCAACAGTGAACAGTTCAGGAGGTTTCCAGTTGACTGCGATGAGGTTTCCAGTTCACGGCAGTGGACGGCGGTGGATGGGTCCTCGCGCTTGACGGCGGTCGTGGCGGACGATTAGTTGGGTTGAGGACGGCGGTTGTGGCAGAGGACTTGGGAGTTGACGGTGGGGAGGCTTGAGGTCGGTGACGGTGGGGAGGGGAGGTTTTGGAAACTGTCTGGGGAAGGGAAAAAGTGGGGGGCGGGAGATTTGGTGAGGAGAAGGGAAGAAGGTGGGGGGCCGCACGTGAGGGAATGGAGAGGGGGGGTAAATTTTTAGATTGGTTTTTATATGGAGTATAAAATGGGGTATACATGGGGTACCCATAGCATTTTTGCTGAAATAATGCAAACAAAAGTGCAAGTGGGCTGATGAAGGGGGTGTGGACATGTGTTTGGATTCTCCCAATCCTTTTACATGAGGCAAACAACTCATATTAGGATCAATGTCATGATTTTTTTTTTATTATTTAAAGAATACTATTATATTTTTGCGGGGGACTCAATATTTTTTTACTTTGTCGTTCTAAAAATAATAAAGCATGTTTGATTAGGAAAATTGTTCTCAATTGATTATTAGTATGATTGGGTAGCGGGAAAAGTTTAGAAACTGTTCTCTTCGCCTGATCTGAATGTTTCTGATCTGATCTGATTTGAATATTTCTATAATTATAATTATAATTACAAATATAATTTAAATAAAATTATTATTATAATCCTAACTATAATAATAATAATAATAATAATTAAAATTAAATTTAAAACGAAAAAAGTTATACCTATTACACTAATTACAAATATAGATACAACTATAAATTGTAATTATATTTTTAATTATATTTACTTATATAATTATAATTGTAATTATAATTACAATATTTATCTCTGTAATTCTAACTATAGTTATCAATATTATTATAATTACTCCGTAAAATAATTACAATAGTAATAATAATAATATTATTAATAACTATAATAAAAATAATAATTATAATCATAAATTATAATAATAATATAATTATAACTGTTACTCCGTATAATTATAATTAATAATAATTATAATTATATTAAAGGTAATTATAATATTATAATATAATAATAGTAATATAAATACAAGTAATATTATTATAACGATATTATTATATTAATATTATTATTACAATAATATAATAATAATATGATTATTGTTATTATAAGTATTATATTATTATAATATTATATTATTATAATATTATATTATAATTATATTTATAATCATATTTATAATTATGATTGTAATTATAATTATAATTATTGTTATAATTATAATTAATTATAATTGATTATAATTATAACTAT